GATTTCAATTTGTAGACTGTGCATCTAGAAAAATCCTCTAGAGTTTTGCACATAATTTATTGCGAGAAATGTCCTGATATTTACAAAGTTGGTAAACATTAATGTTTAGCGTCTTTATGGTAAACTCTGTGATGAAAAAGACTACATAATGATGAAGTGGAGGGATTCGACAGGATAACTAATCAATTTTATACCCCTTGTTGGAAAGCTTGGAAGTATAAGTGTCAGTTTATTTTCTTAGGGATTACAATCTGGGGAAATTTGTATTGTTAACATTGAGGTTGGCCATTGACTCAATAATTTCCAAAAAATTTGACTGCTGAAGATTTACTTAACTATTATTGGCACATTTACCATTAAGGTTTTGCAGGTATTTAGCACCAACACATTACTTTGGCCTTTTTCCTCGAATTCTCACTAAGTGGAGTACTGGGCTCTTTATAGCAAGAATCAGTCAGAATCACCGAAGGCGTCCTTGACATCATTTTACTCTTCTGCCTGGGGATAAATTTTTTCTAAGCTCCTCTTTTACTGTCCTCTGGCATCACATTTTTCGAGGGAAGTGTAAATATGTGAGAGATGGGCAGATTTTTTTGGTAGGGGGAGGGGGGNTTTTTTTTGGGGGGGGGGGGGGGGGGGGGGGTTGGAATGGGAGAGAAGCAACAGCATAATAGTGGAGTCGTCCTAATTGAAACTGAATTCGTGGTGAAAGATCTTTCAATCTCACCTACCATTCCCTTACATGAACAATAATTTGTCATAAATAAGTTATTAATATCAAATTGCAGTCTTTTTGATAGTTATCTTTAGCCCTTTGGATGACTTCAAAGAGGTGGGGGAGGGGGGGGGGGNATAGAGGAACAGGAATGCGATTCACAGATGTAAATGAGACAGACACAAATGCAGAAAAAGATGAGGTACGTACTGTTGAAGAAAATAAGCACACTTTGTTAATCATTTTCATGACTGATTAATGTCTACTTCTCTAGGAAATCACAAGAGGCAAAAATTTCAGCAATTGTGTTTGTTTTATCCTGCTTAGCATATTTTATTAATTATTGCTATCCAATGGATTAATTGAGCAGGAACTCAACCGTTTTAATCGTTTTATTATATTTTAGAAACTCGTTATTATTGGAATTTGTGTAGCCATCCTGATATGCATCCTCATTGGTATCATCGTTGGATTTGTGCCGAAGTAGTGGTCAATGGAAATTACAATTGCAATTTGAGTCCACTACTCAAAGTTAATTTATCCGCTGCCACAGTCTCTGTGTATTGATTTATTTCTACCCCTATATAGTAGACAACGAAACTACCAACCCCTTCTCCATCTATTTCATTTACATGTCTAAACCATTTTCATGTCTGTTGAATTTAAACAAGTTATAGGGCGGTGTCAGCTTCGGTTCAATCCTATTTATTACGCTCCAACATTCCGTTATTACTATTATTAATTCAGCTTTGAGAACAAATGAGACATCGATATATACTACTATTATCACCTGTGTGTACATATATGCCAACTAATATTTATGGTTGTTTATGCAAGCTCTTTATGTAGCATGCATAAATCCATTCTGCTCCTTTTTCTTCTCCTCATATATGAACTCTCTTACGTAAATCCACTTTAAGATTAGGATATTTACTTCTTTACAATATATGTGTGTTTGTGACCTCAAGCCTTATCATACCACTTATTAGACGCTTACATTTTCACATTGACCCTCTTCTCCAACTGGCCAATCAGAAAAGGCTCCCCCATTTCTCTTTGGTCGCACGACTATGCAAACACAAATCTTTGCGGCACCTAGAGAAAACCGATATCGATCGAACGGACAACTGCCCACACACTTGGGACCTTGTGATCAGCCAGTCATTCTTCATTATCAATTACTTCTTCAGCGATTTGTGAATCCTTCTTTCTCCTGTTGTGATTACTCTTTGTCTTTTTCTTAAAATTTCTCTCACACACTCTCTCTCTCTCTAGCTATCGCCCTCCAGACTTTTCTTTCCACTAATCGCGGTTCGTGATTATTTGTGAAGTAAATGAACAAATCCTTTGTTTCTTTTTAATTAATTTTTCTACTTAAAGTTTCCGGCTATATTGGGAGGGTGATTTTACGTTGTGTTGGATGTAGAAAAAGTTGTAAATGTAATGCAGGCGAAAACATGTTAGAAGATTAGTACATTGCATGTTACTAACTAAGATAAAGTAGTGTTTTTTCAAATTTTTATAATATAAGTAGCCTAAAGAAACCAAAATAGAAGCCAATAGGAAGTAAAGTTAAATATCACTATGAAAATAACGATGTTTCTTTGAGTTTTTCTTATTTCCATTGAATCAGGAGTCCAGTGTTTGGAATTATGGCTTTACATAGAGGAATAAATGTAATGCATTCCTTATTTAATAAAGGATAACATTTGATTGTTGTCTATCAGAAGTGTAAATTACCAACCCCATTGTAATAACTGCCCGAAATATAATCAAATTTAAAATATCCCCAAAGCTGCTATCCCGAATATTCGAGTATTTTTATTTAGACTGATCGTATTAAGTAGGAAGAGGTATAATTGAACCGTGGTGGTTAACGTGTGTGAGTGCGACCAAAGATCATGTCTAATTATGGCCAATAGGAGGTTCATTAGGGGGTCTAAGATACCAAGTTAGAAGGAGAAGTTATTTCGTGGTGGAGAAAATTTCAGGTCACGCACCTTAAATGCACTTTGTTGATGTTTCACTCACGTGGCCTATTGAGTACAATGAGTAAAACGTCTAGTTTGTAATTTAAAGCTAAATATTGTATTGCGCTGTAGCATAATACGCAATCAAACAGGTTGATGCCAATGAAATCGAAGACATATGCCAAGTGCGTTCTCCATTTTGAAATTTCTAAGTGACAAGTAGACATCAGTAGATAACTTTATAAGGATGGAATGGAAATTCGAAGAGTTTCATCTTGTTGGAAAAAATTATTCAAAGCTCAGTTGCATTTAATGATGCAATTTGTAAATGGTTTCACGTTGTTAACCATGGCACAGACCTACCTCTTTCTACTCATTATGCAACCACAAGTGGATCATTATCCATTAAGGGCAAGGCAAGTTAAAGTGCAATTTTGAGACACACGTTTAGTTTCGTCCGATTATCATATTTATGGGAAATTAGTTTTGCTTTTATGGATAAATTAAAAAATACATTTTTTATGAAATCAGTTCAAAAAGCACATAGGTTGACCAAATTTATTTTTCTTACATTTCCGCGGCAACTAATAAACACATTTAAATTTCATAGCCCCTTGCCCTCCACGTTTTTCTTCCAATGCCAACTACTAAATAGATGAAAGATTCAATTCTCGATATCGCTGTTGCATAACCAACTATAGTTAAAATGTCTTAAAGGTGTACATATTGGAATCGCTCATGGTAGATATAAATCTACATGTGATGAAATTAAAACAGCCCAAATCTCAGAGAGTAGATGTCATTCGGATACATTTCTAATTTGCATAATGACGACTGTTCTCTAACAACCCTAGAGAACTAGGGCAACTTATCACGCACTGAGCGTACCTTAGAAAGAAACAGCATACAAATAAACCTTTCCTTTTGAAAATAAAAAGTAACCATAGGTCCTCTATGTGAATTTTAGCTGCAGGCTACCAAGAAAACGCGGATCTAATATAATACCTAGGACGTCCTTTGAGGCAGCCTATGATTGTGTTCACAGTGATTTGAAGTTGCAATAGTAGATAGTGCGCATGCTATCCGATATAATTGACAAGGGCTATCTAATCTTTCCGGAGGCGATATTTACGCCAAAATATTTCAGATTATGGTTTAAAATATTCAACGGAATGCTTGTGTTGTCATGTTTCCCATGGTTTGAAACCGATAATTGTGGAAGTAGAGGGAACAAAGTTGTTATAGGTCATTCGTGAACAAAATAGCGCAATTTCAAACTTTAGGAATATACAAATGGTTGCCTGAGTGATTATATATATGTATGTATATATTAAAGAGGAATCGTTTGGAAATACTTGAAACCAAACAAAATTTCAAATAAGTAACTTATTAGGAATTACCATGAAATGTAAACTGTTTCGCTTAAAGATAAAGAAACTAAACAAATATACGACACTCACCTTACAATAAAAGTTTTAAAATTTTTAACGTGGGCAAAACGTGTCCGTTGAAGAATTTTTTAGATAATTAACAACATTATGAATTATCTCGAAAACATAATGGGGATCTCTTGAGTGGATTTTTCATTCTAAAGAAATATGTTGATCAATACTGTGTGAATGGAAACACTTAATTGGATCTAAGCCCTCAGCTTCAGTACCCATAGGTGATCTGTGTATATGCATGTATGTTCGAGCACAGGTAACTTAATAGATGCAAATATTTAAGCCCAGTCAGGACTGAAATGAATCAGTAAAGCCTACTTTACATATCAGTGAATTGAAGCTGGTCTATTAGCTTTGGCTTTGTTTCGCGAATTGTAATATTTGAGCGAGTTAATAAGAGAGAAGTTAAAACCTTAAGATGATGTAAATTCTCAATGATTACTGGCAACTTGTTTCGTTTAAGGTTTCATACAATCGGAACAAAAATAAGCACAGCATATTTATAGTATACTGTTTGTCTACGGTTCAAAATGTAAGGAAAAAAGCAAAAAAACTATTAAATAGAATCCATTTAATGATTTTTTGATAATCATGAAGACATATTTAGCCTTGGGTAATTTTACGTTTTTCCTGGAATCACTTTATTTTAACATACAATTGCTTAAACTATTTGACTTTGTGGATGTTAAGCGAATTAGCCCGTTCTCCATAACCTGAGATCGCATATTAGCATTCAGTGGGTTTGCACGAGGCTCTTGGCTCAAATTAAATATTACCCTATCGATTGGCATCCATTTCTTATGTATATATTTTTGCAATAAGAAACTATGTTTTATAATTTTTTGTTCTTTTATTCAACAAATACAGAAGATGAATAAATCTCAATCCGGTATTACAAACAATCGCAATAGACATGGTATCATTGATATGAAACAAACGAATATCTTAGGTAATCAAAGGCAGTCGGAAAGATCGATATTTCCTCGATATTGGAATGAATCACAAATACAATCAGGTTTAGCTGAAGGTCAAGTAATTTTAGTAAGTCTTTACTCCCTCTTTTCATTGAATTTTATTTGCTCTAATTTCTTCCTAAAATTAAATATTTACTAATTTCAGGCCCATATACGAATCAATCCCAAGAAGTTCACAGATGCCTACAGCAGCCATCCGGTAGTAAAATTGCCACTTATTATTTTGTTCACTTTAATTCCTTTAGAAAGGTGATGCGGATATTTTTATACCCGGCACGAGGGCTCGTAATCGATGTTTAAATGGTGATCTCGCATATATCAAAATTGAGCCTCTCGTTAAGTGGAGGGTCTACGACTCTTTTTTAACGAAAAAGGTCGAAGAATGGGCTTCCGAGCACCATGATCGTACTAATTCTAATTGTCCTTACGTATCTCTCGGTGATTTCATTCACCATGATCCTGAGGGTTTCTCAGAGGTATGCTCCTCTTGCTTCCTTAATTAACGATTAACCCCCCCCCCCCTCCTCCT